GCAGGTCGACCTGGAGGCTTTCCTTGCTGCCAGCAAGGAGGTTTGTGCCTTGGAGCCTCTGACAGATGATTCGACCTACACAGATGAGCAGCAACAGGACATCTCCAAGCTTTGCAAAATGCTCGTACCATTCTCCGAGGAGGCGCTCATTTTCGAGGATGCCCCTGAAATTGGTGCCAAGTTCAAGGAGGGCTTGGATTCAGTGACCAAGTGGTTTGAGTCCTTCCAGCCAGACTTTGAGAAGTTCGGCGAGGTGTTGGCAGATGCAGTCTGCAACTCCACCAATGCCGTTGAAGAGAGTGCAGGTCTCGAAGCGCATGCGGATGCATTCCCGCCGAGTCCCATCAAGGTGCCAAATTCCTTCGACAGCGTTTTCCAGCTGCAGTGACACTTGACAGTTGTCAATCAATCAATGATTTCTCATTTGTGGATTGTGGCTAGGGAAACATTTCTTTTCGACTCTGGATCACCTGATTACTGTACTGATTAATTAATGATGCGTGATTCATGATTCTAAAATTAAACTACAAATTACTCTGAGTCATTATGATATAATTATGTAAACTGTAAACTATATTGTAATATAGGACAGGACAGGTGACATTTGTTGCTAGCATTTTCTGGCTGCGGCTTTGTTTCAAATTTCAAGCCCGACTTGATCTGAGGCGAGATGCAGTTTGCTTTGGAGAGGATTCCATCGGCCAAGCTTGCGGTACATGTGAGCTTGAAGGCAATCTCAGACGCCTGTTTGGCCATCAGTGCCTTCGAAGTCCCTTCACCAAACGGTTCCGATTCCGATGTTGCTGCAGCACTGGTTTCATGGGCAAGCTTGGCCAAGCAGGTTCAGGGCTTTTGCGGAGATTGTGAAGTCTCAGACGAAGTTGCTCGAACTTTGACAGGCCTTACAAAGGCCAGGAAGCAGCTATGGGATTGGAGCCTGTGCGCGCTGTGGGCATGCGATGGGAAAGGCCTGAGCCTCATTGTTGCCAATCCTGAGAGCTCCTTCTCCTACAAGGACTTTCTCACAGACAAGATGCAAAAGGTTGCATCCTCGCTTCAGTTGGTTCAGGGCATCGAGGAGAAAACAAAGTACTTGAACGGTGACCAAGCAGACTTCGAGACAGTTCTCAAGATGGTGGGAACTTGTGAGTCCATTCTGTCCGCAAGTTCACTTGTTCAAGGACATGAGATGTTTCCCGGCCGTTTTTAATGGAGTGTCAGAATCAGTACGGTTCTTTCATGTGTTTTGTCTTTGCCTGTTCTCTTTTTCACCAAGTCAAGTCAGCAAGTTGTCACTGTTTCCGGGTCTCAATTTCTGATTCCAATTGAATTGGCATTTCATTTTAGTGTTAGTTTTTCATACCACGATTCATATCATATATCACATCATATATCATATCAATCATATCATATTATCATATTATTACTATCGTATTATTACAAAATATTGAAAGACGATTCACGATAGATTATTGAAAGATGATAGACTGATAGAATGAATAGATGATGTGATGTGATTGAGTCGAGAGTAAATATGAACCGGGATAACCAAGTGAGAACTCCATGGAAGCCAAACCCAGGTTCAGCAAACCCTTGGAGATCTTCACGCTCTTCACTGAAGGGTTCTTGGCCGCTGTGAGGAAAGGCTTGGAGTCGTTCCATCAAACACACTTGGCCATGTTCGAAAGCTTCAAGGATAAGTACCAAGCAGTTGGGGCTGCATGTGAAACTTGGAACCTGACTCCACATGAAGCGCATTTCAAGTCAGACAGCTCAGCCACTGGTGATTCCTTGGAGCAATTGCTGGCGGCCCAGCAAAATTGCGCACCACTCATGACAGCCCTTGCCAGCTTCTGCCTTCACTCAGGGTCTACCAAGTTGAGGGATGTCATTGGTGAGGCCAAAGGAACCTACAAGGCTGCGCTCACGCTCACAAAGGAGGCCATGAGGATTGCCGGGCTCATTTTTGTTGCGGGTTTGCTCGTGAAAGATGGCGCAACACCTGAGGACGCCAAGGCTACTATGGACGTGGCCAACAAGTCCTACGGCCTCACCAGAGACAAGCTGCCACAAAAAATGCAGAAGCTGGTGGGTGACCTTTTGAAGACTGAGGGCACTGGCAAGGAGGGTGAGGCTCCCAAGCGGAAGAAACCACCAGCGAAGGATGGTGATGCCGCCAAGGAACCAAAGAAGAAACGTGAGAAAGTCGAGAAGAAAGATAAAAAGGAGAAAAAGGAGAAAAAGGACAAGAAACGCAAGAAAAGCGACAGCGGTGATGAGTAGACAGAAGGCAGTAGCTGCCATGATTCATGATCAAGCAAAGCTTGAACATCTCTTGGAGTTGGAGCACCGACGGGGTTCCGGTGAGGTGAAAACAATGCTTGCAGCGGTGCATGCTGCAGTGTGGCATGTGACATTGACATGTTACACACACCACACTACACACATGATTACATATTGTTGCACACACATACTTTAAGTTTTAAGAGTTGACACGAACTATGGACTTTAACTTTAACTTTAACCGGTTAACCTGGTTAACCTCAACCTGTCAACATCCTCATCCCCAGCCTCAGCCAGGAACATGGGCCACCAGCTACAAAAGTCCCTTCTCAACAACATCTTTCCACAACATTGAACTTTCCAAAACCTTTTTCCACAACATTGGCTACAACATAGATATTCCACACCCATTTTTCACAGCATTGGTTACAACAGAGACATTTCCAATACCACTTTCCACAACATCAAGGACAACATAGAAATATCCAAATCCATGTTCCACAACATCAAGGACAACATAGTTCAGAACCTATACGGATTGTGCCAACAGAGATAGAGAGCAACGCCTGATATAATATATATTATATACATATCCATCAAATAGTTCCAAGTGGATTGAAATGAAACTCCCAACAAAACCCATTTATCCTGCCCGGGTACGTTTCTGTAACACTGTAGTGTTGAGTTTCCAATTGAAGATGAAGCTCCTGAGTGGGATGCCTTGGCCTTGTCCTCTGTGATGACCACCATCATGTTGGCAACCTATGTAACGCAACCCAAGAGTCTGAGTCGAACGTAAGCGTGGATTACAGTATTGCGCACCTTCACTTTGGTCTCTTCCAGCACAGGTTGCTTGGCTTCCAACCTCACTGTTCTCCCACAAACATATAAACAATATATATATATATATATTATGTATATATATATAACTTTAATGTTGCTACAAAATGCTACAAAGTGTTGTTGACAGTCAAGATAGGGCTGCTCAAAGCTTTATTGAAGAAAGGCAATGCAGCTGTTTGATCTCTCAAAAGCCTCCGTCAAGAATTAGGCTCCAGCTCACTTTGCATGTTGGCCACGGCATAGGCTGCTGCTCCAAGAGCATCCAATCCCTTCTGCAGCCGATTTTTGAGGGTGCCCACCGCATCCTGCAAGGCTCTCTTTGCACCAGCGCACACATTAAAAAACTGCTGCCACCCTGAACTGAGGCCCTGTCTCGTCGCAGTGCCAGAACCTGCAGGTCGCTGAACAAACTCAACAACCGTGCACAATTGAAACTCATTTGCAGAAAACCAAGCTCTGTGGTTGAACTTTACATGTCTTTTCCACAGCGCTTTTGTATGCAAGATTGTCAGAGTCACAAGGTACGTGATCTTACTTTGGCCTATGTATGTCAGTGATTATGTTCTGCCTTTCAAACACTTGTGCTATCCAACACTTCACTTCTGATTCATCAAGCCCAGTTGCCAGCCTTCTTGAAGGAGGAGATCAGCTCCAAATATGAGGTGGGCGTGATGTAAATGGCCCGCCTGTAGAGGGAGTGAGGGGGAACAAGAATCTGTGCACCACAGGCACCTGGCTTTCATGGACCAATTGGTTTTGAATGACTGCCCAGTGCTTTGGTCAAGCGCCTCACAGTCTCCATGGTCCTCTTTGCAGCTTTCTCAACGGACTGATGAACCACAGAGAAGACCTTCAGCATGCCTCGGCATGGGAGCTTGAATAGAATGTTGGAAAAGCTCTACACATCAGACTTGCAAAACTGTCACATCAACCTCGCCTTCCAGGTTTGGAAGCTTCAAGTCCTACCCCAAGCCATCATTCATTCCGTCTACCAGTCTACCACAATCTGTCAAATCCAGCAAAACCTCATTGGGAACTGTTTGCATTGAGACATTCATACATGTATGTCAGTCCTCAAGAGTCATCTGCTGCTTGCCGACACTGTAAAGAGCCTGCAACAGTGAAGAAAGCAAAAACATTCATTTGCATGAATCTACAAAAGCATACAAAAGCTCACTGCTTGATGTCTATCTAGTCCTTTTTTTCCTATGGACTACGAATTTGCAGCAAGCATCCTACAGCGGAAGTTAAAGGAGCTCATAGCCTCTGCTGGCCATTCGGCAAACCAGTCGATCGTGCAGCAGTTCACCAGCGAAGGGAACATGCGAAGGCCTTTAGTCACAAGCAGTGGAAAATCGATGCCACTAAAGCGAGGATCTTTTGATTCCAGGAAATTACCGCGCATGCTCCTTCTGTCTTCTATCTATGCGGCGACCAAAAACTGGGAGTGTCACGTGTGCGGAAGGCATCACCGACGGGAGAGAAAGCCAAAACGACGTGTACATTTGCCTGGCAATCAAACACCGGCACAGCATGTTGTGTGCTTTCAAACGGACAATTGGACTGCAAACATTCCAAAAGCCATGTTGCACCTTGACTCTAGACAAGTATGTGCTGAAGACGTTGGCTTTGGTCGGTGGAATGCCAGCCTTTCAAGCAGCGCATACACACAAAAAACGAAGAGCCACTCGTCCAGGCCACACAATCTGTTTCTTTACTTTGCAGTACAGTGCAATCCCTGCAACGGCCTGCTGGCAGGCAGCTCGACAAGCTTGCATAATGGAGTCCATGTCCTGGGAAATGAATTGCACGTGTTTCTTTACAAACGTTAAGTATCGTTAAGTCATCTCGGAACTCTGACTTCAGCGATACCATCAAGTGAGGCTGGGGTCCTCGGTTTTGTAGAGGTTGGGAACATCACCCGAGTTCAAGACATTGTTGATGGCCTCTACCATTTGCTCGTTCACAATCTGCGTGTCCGCAAAGAGGAAGGTGGTCGGCTTCTGCTCGTTGCCACACTTCATGAGGCATGTCTTCAAGTCATCCTTGAACTCCGTCATGCCATATCCCTTCACAACGTCAATTTGGAAGATATCATATTCAGACATGAAGCTGGCCAGGCGTGAAAGAGACTGCCGACCGGATCCACCCACACCCAAGAGCAAGGCATTGCCGCTGGGCTGCCGCAAGACCCGACAGACACGAGCGACATGCTCACAGGCATCCGCGAACATCACCAGGGGCATTGGCACAGAGAACATGTTGTTGTAGTCATCCAGAAAGCCTACAGGTTTGAACATGCAAGCATGCTTGGGCTTAGCCGTGCAGCCCGGTTCGTTAGCGGTCTGAACACATCTATCCGGAATTTGCATCATGATTCATGATGCTTACATGGCAGTGTGTGTGTGTGTGTTAGACTTAGACAATTTGAGGGTTCAAACTAATATGTTTCTAAGACGACGCCTTCCATCACCGTCTTCATAGCCCCCCATGCTATCCACCTCCAAATACACACGTTCTCCAGATTGGCTCATGAAGTCTGCGAAGACCATCCGCTCCTTGTCAAAGACCAAGACAGGGTCAACACCAAAGGACGTGCTCAGCTGATGGTCCAGCTTCCCTCGCAGCCAGGAGCGATCTTCGTCCGTGGTCAATCGGTCGCCATAGACTCGAATGTTCTCATGACAAAAGCATCGCGTAACAACCAAAGGATCCGAGACCCTCTTGGACTTCAGCGAACAGATTCCTTGGAATACCTTCCAAATATCTCTCAGATTGAAAGTGTAATGGCTCTTTGATGGAGTGGGCAACAGATCGGTTCCAGCAGCTTCAAAGGTGTCGATCGAGCAGTTCACAATGTTGTCCTGTGCATAATTTCGAGAGACCGTCTCTCAGCAGGCTCAAGCTTGTCAAATTCAAAATCACTCACTCACCTGACGAACCTGGCCCCAAAACAATTGGTCACAATCCTCCTTCCAATTCGCTCTCGAACCCAGGCTGTCCTATTTTTTAGGAACCCAGGCTTGAGGGTCCAGAATAGAGAGAGGTAACTAAAAAAATCAAAAACGCTGGAGCCACAAAGCCTAAAGAATCAATGGAAAACGTGTTTCTTTAAAGAATAGACACTGACCTTCAAAAATATCAAAAATCTAAAGAATCAGTGCACCCGGGTTCGAGTCAAAATGGCCATTTTTGAATCACCCTTCCAATTCGTACTCACACCCGGACTGTCAATTCTTTAGGAACCCCCAGGTTCAGTATCCAGAAGTGGCACTAAAAAATCAAGAACATTCTCTAAAGAATCAAAAGCCAGATTGCATCTGCCAAAACATTGGAGACTTGAAGGAAAAGCTCAAAAGGCCTAAAGAATTGACAGTCCGAGTTCGAGTGGAACAAAGTCGACTCATGCATGTTCTTCTTGATGCTTGCTTATGGATGATCCTGGTATGGTCTCTGCATCTGTGTGTTGAGCCCATGCTAGGATTTGCAAATCTGGCTTTGCAAAGACTCTTTTCTCTAAAAATCCACCCCATTCTCGAGCTAACGCTCGACAACCAAAGTCTCTAATAAATCAACCCCCTCTTGGCGTTATAGAGAATGGGAACCCCCAGGTTCCAGTTGTAGACTGGCACTGTATATCTTCATCCGTTTTTGTTTTTTATGACAACCCGGATTGTCTGATTTTTTAGAGGAAATTCGCACAGGGATATGTTTGATGTGTCTTCAAACACGCTCCTTCAGTTCATCTACGTTCCAAATTGTTTTATCTGAGTCAAAATCATATTTGCATATACATGGAATGGCCCTGAATGGCCTCTGCTTCTCTGTGTTGAGCCATTTCTGTCATTTTCAACACAGATGTTGCAGATCCAGAATCATACACTCACAATTGCTCAAAAGCTTTTCTCTAAAGAATCAGGGTCCACCTACCCACCTGTAAAGAATTCCAACCCCCAGGTTCCTGGTGGTCCATTGCACCCTGTTTCTCTTACTGATTTCATTCTTTAAGACAACCCGGGTTGTCCTATTTTTTAGAGGACATTCGCACAGAATGAAAATACCCAGCATGTACTGCGAAGGAGTCACAACTGGCCCACAAGGCCAGGGTCCTTCAGATCGCAAATGGATTTATCGAAACCTTGTTGCAGGAAGTAGTCCAGAATCGTTGAGAAGATGCCGAAAATGGAGTCACGAGACATGTCTGCTGCCACGACAGCATTGTAATGCCTGGACAGAAGAAGCTTCCATGAAGCTTCCATGTTGGGTTCCAACTCTACGGGCGAATTCAGAAAACAGCTTCATTCACTTCTGCCACCCTTCTCTCCGCCCTCTTCGCGGCGGCGGCGGTGCGGCGTGCCTCTTCAAGCGTCCTGAAATCTCGGTGCGTCCGCCTCCAGGGGGGTCCCATGGCGGAGACATGAACAATGTCCTCAGTGGGCAGCTTTTTTGCTTTCGGAAAATGTCGAGCCGTTTCGAAAAATTCTGAGGCAATTCTGGGATCCTGGCAATAATCTCCTGCACCTTCAACTCCTGCAAATTCGGCAGGGTCTGGAGCCCAAAGGAGGTGAGAGGCTGATTCGACCCGCAGCGGTCTCCTTGCGGTTATACCAGCCATTGTAGTCCATCCATTGACGGATCAGTTCGATGGGCGGCTGTGCTCCATAATACTCCTGCGACTGATTGGGCGCCAACAACTGGAAGGCACCGTTCTTCCAAAGTGCTGGGCGAAAAGCTTACGGAAAAAACAAACAAAACGGATTTCAACAAATTAGGCCAAGGGGTGTCTTGCGCTATGTCAAGCAGTCAGGTTCAATTCAACATGTTGCTTGATGGTCAATTCAGTTTCATGCATCAAAAGCGCATGAAAACTGCTGGTCCACCATGCGGTCCTTCTTGGGCATGTTCAGGTCATCAATAAAAATCACGTTCTTCTTGCCAGCGGGAGGGCCTCGTGACGACGATGTGATGATTGTGGACGAGTCCATCTGCATCACGGAAGGGCTCCTACGCTCTCCTATGCTCTCCTACGGTCCCACTACTCAGCATACTCTGTTCAACTGCTGTCGCGGCCTCCTGTGATGGGGTATCAATCAAGGGTAAGGGATCAAAATAAAAATAAAAATAGGATCAAAAAAAATATTCAACGGGGATCAATTAAAAAAATAAAAAGGCAATCAAAAAAAGAATATTCTAGCCCACTGAGGATGGTTGGGGTAGTAGAGGAGAGTGTACCTCCCCAGGAGCTCCCTCCTAGTAGCTATTTCCACTGGTGAGCCATTTTTCGAGTAGGGCTACTCAATGACTGGACGGCAACCTTATCGTTGGGTACCTACTTTCTTCCCAGGGAGCTGCCTCTAGTAGAAAGCAATCAAGCCTCTATTTGCGCAAGCAGGGGACCAGGAGATCGACAGACGAGCGCCGTAGGAGAGCAAAAGACCAGCGGACCAGGAGACAGAAGGACTAGGATACCAGGGGACCAGCGGACCACAGGACCAGAGGACCAGGAGACCGGAGGACTAGGGGACCAGTGGACTAAAGGACCAAGGGACCAGGGGACCAAAGGACCAGTGGACCAGAGGACCAAGGGACCAAAGGACCAAGGGACATTATTACCAGAGGACCCGCAGACCACAAGGCCAGGAGAGCAGCAGAAGAGGCCTATCAAGGAATATTTTTTTTGGTTCGCTTTTCATTTTTATTGTTGATCCTGCTTTTTTTTTGATGCTCTTTTTATTTTTTTTTTATACCTATGCCATCAATCAAACCACCTGGGGGCGCCGGCCATAAACACCGCGCCGCCGTTTCTCGAACTTGGAGTCCAACAGGTCCTGTGGATGAGCGATGAGGATTGGGATGTTGCAAGTGCCTTGTGACCTTGTGATTCTGGCTTGCATTGGTCATGGTACAAAAACATTTCACAGGGCCTGCAACTGGTTCACGTGCGTCTGCGCCTTAAAGTTTAAACAAAGGATTGAAGCATCTTTCGCGAACATGCAAAACCAAACCCCAAGCTTCAAGCTGAGAAGTTGATGAAAATTGGCAGGATGGATTCTGGCGCATCCTTCTGTAGCCACAGCCTGAGAATCTCAAGACTCAAGACTCAAGATGATGATCATTCATAACGACAGCCTGAGGCTTTGACGACAAGTAGACAGACTTTCCAGTGCCTGTTTGGCCGGCAACAATAACATGCTTGTCCTCAGCATGGGCACTGAAAGGCCTCAATCACTTCCGTCTGGCCGACATGATCAATGATTACTTGAATCCGAATTTTGCAGATGATAGTGCTAGTATGTGCTAGTGTGCCTTTTCTATCGTTTGAGTGCAGTCCTTGAGAAGCAGCGTGGAAAAGGTGTGCGTCAAACGGATGGAGTCCACCGTTGGCCTTCAAGCAGCATCCGGTGAAAGAAGAACCCAACCTAACCGACCCAACCATGGCCACAAGGAGCTGACATCAATGTGCCAAACTCTGAGCTTGTTGCACCACGATGTTCTGGTACTCGGAACCTACAAGCAGCTGGAGCACACATAAATCATTCGTCATCGCTCCGTCAGTGTTTAAATGAGGCAGAGATCATCATATTTCTGCGCTTTGAGGATGAAGCGTGGAGGCACGCTATACTTCGGAGCCTCAGCACATCCAAATAGCTCTGGACTTGACTCATCTTGAAGTCATCTTGATCATGCATCCTTCCTCACGGAGACATGACATCAAGACCCTTCACTCCGTTTGGGTTGATGAAAGCAGGCGCAGCAGAATTCGATTGGTACCAGTAGCCTGCACAGCTACCCATGCTAAGACCACCTGGCGCTTGCATCTGGGCTTCCACACAAAGGTCAACCAAGGAGTCCATTGGCCTTCTCGATCGCCCTGCAAAACGGACGAAGGATGATGATGTCTATTCAATTCTTCTTTTTTCTGAAGCCTGAGGTGGAGGTCGCCCTCAAATGAGCCCAAATCACTATAGATGGGCAGCGTAAAAGCAAGAGGGGACTCTGGCTTCCGGCTCGTCATGGTGCTCAAGTGACTCAGGCACATGTTCAGCGAAACCGGTTCCATCGCTACCTCAAGCTCGTAGATGTAGTCATACCTGGCATCGGTTCTATTCCAGTCCAGCCGAGTTTCCAAGGTCTACAAATTTCAGGATGCCAGTTGGAGCCCTTCCAAGTACTGTCTTGTTTGTGCTAGGAAGGGGCAAGATGGAACAAGTCAGGTCGAGACTTAACGCCTTTAGAAGAGGAACTGCATCAAAACACAGTGATCAAGTGCAACGGAGTCACCAGAACATGCTGCTGTCCAGGTTGCCACCAACCTTGCAATGTCTTTCTTGTAGACAGGTCTCTCGTGGAACTCCAGTAGCAGGCCCACATTGAAAGTATGGTCTCTGGTCAAAGTGATACTTTCACCACAATTCAATTACTGATCATCAAAGTCAGCAAAGCACATGATGTGTCTTTGTGTACGCGCGCACTCGACGTGGAGCAGCCTCAACACCCTTCTCCTTGACCATTTCCCACAGTTTGTCCTCAGCAAAGCGTGTGGTGACAACCCCACACCAGGAACCTCATGTCCACATTCACACAAAGGCAGCTTGAAACCATCTCAGGCCACCAAAAATGAGTGACAAGGGACGGATCGGAAAAATCCGGCAGAAAGGATGTCATTCAAATGCAACTGATTTCCGGTGGGAGCCATACGCATCTTTGCCGAGATGCATTGACAGTCTGTCGCCCTTTGTTGTCACAGGTAGCACCTTCAAGGATTAAGCCGAGGATTTTGCAGTCATATTGTGTCTGAGAACTTTGCCAGCACAAAGTGGATTCACAGGCCCTGCTACACAAATCTTAGTCGTACTTGGCCAGGAGCTGCCAAGCAAGGATCACACAACCGAATCACCAGGCAAAAGTGAAGAGCTCACCATGCCATTGGCCCACTGGCCTTACCACGTGGCCCTGCATGGCCCTCTACTTGGCCCAGCACCCACGGACCAAACCAGCGTGAAGAAGTAGAGCGGAATCAGGTGGGACCTGCCCAGCAGAGTGGCTCTTTAGGTGACAGCGGAGCAAATGAAAAGTGCCCGAAACATCGGGACATGTTTGGCTGTTTGAACCTGCTTTCAAAGTATCCCTTGGGACAGAAAGGCATTCAGAGCATCAAGCGCAAGCAAACTGACACGTGAAATGGCACACTACATCCAGGGCACTCACTCTGGGGCCGCTGCTGAAGCTTGCTGATCTCATCTGGACTTGGAGTTCTTGCCTCTGTGGGGATGTAGTTGGCAAAGTAGCAGTCAAGGAGCCTGCATTTCGATCGATCCGCTGGTTTTCTCTGGAGATTATGATGTCATAAATGGTCCAACTCCATCTCTCTTTGCAGTGAAAGAAGGCCCTCACCATGATCGGCCACGCACATTGAATTAGAGCTTGTGTCTATCCTTCTTCAATTATGAGGTTTCGTCCGGCAGCATGTCAGCTTGCTTCACCTGAAGTGTGACTGGCAAATGTTGTTGTCCACAGTCACTGAAGGCTCCTGTGCACGGACAGCTGACTCCCAACCCCAACCCCACCGACTCCACAAAATGCTAGTGACTCAGACTGAGTCTGTGCATTGGCCAAGGTCTGTTGGAATCATCTCTGCTAGCAGACAGAACTTAGGATTGACCCAAACAAAAGCTTTGTGTAGGACGCAGTGACATCTAAAACCGACCTAGAAAAATTCCTTCAAATCCATTCTGGCTAGTTGAGAGCATTCTTCTAAGCATTCTTGTTTGTAAGGGGGTGACGAGTTGCCCTCGTTCGCCTTGCACTGCTTCCGCACAGTTCGGATCATGGGAAGGGTGAAATCCTCAGAAAAGGGCAGGGTCCAAGTCCCCGCTCTTTCTAATATGAGAAGGAGTTGTCAAATTGTTGTTACTAGTAGCTTCTTGTTACTAGCGGATGCTCCAAATGCTGCCAACTTCAGTTGCTTTGGCTCATGGCGATTGGAGAGATGTGCCAATTCTCCAAGGTCCGTGCCAACATGAGCTCCTGCAGCTTTTCGCACATCTCCTGCAAGCTCAGTGCTCAGTCCCTTGTGTGTGTGTGTGGAGAAAAGAAAATGTGTTGCGTGCCTTCCCAGACCCACCTTGACAAACTGCCACAATGCCAGGGGCTTGTCACACCGCAATCCCGGCAAACCCCATGTCGATTCTTTACAAGTAATTGGCAACAAGCACTTGCAAATCCTGAACTTCCGAAGCCCCATCATCAACAACATCTCATTGAATTGATTATCTTAGTAATGAGAGGAAGCGCTTCCAACTTCAGAAGACTCAATCTGCGGTCCGGCTTAAACGTCGAGGGCAGGCGCTCACACCAAGACCTGAAGTGGAGACACAAGCTGTGCCAGGCTGGGCAGCCTGGGCTGCTCAAGTTCAACTCTATCCGGGACACAGGCTGAACCAAGGGCTCGTTGCCAAGAGCTGAAGGCTCCATGTAGACCTCCGCTTCCAAGTTGGCAGGTACTGAGGTGAAATCACATGTGTCACAAGCCTTTCTGTGAAAGCTTCCATCTAAGCATGCAAAGCAAGTTTGGCTGAGATGCCCACCATGCCACATCGGCTCACAGTGGCTGGTGAGGCAACTGACAAGTCCTCGACTTCAAAAACCATCCTGAAGCAAACAAATGGAAGTTGGAAGACATGAGAATTTGAAGGGAAACAATAATGTCAAAAACAACCAACATCGCTCGCGGGCCTCATCTGTGGCGTCAGGGAGATGATTTCACCCGAGGTGAGGCAAAGCTTCTTGTTGTCATCCAACACAGTGTTCATGGACCTGCGTCTGGCCACATTCGGTGGTGAAAAGGAAAACCACTGCGAAGACAAAATTGCATTTGCTGAATGCCCTTCTCTCACTACAGTTTTGAAGGCCTTTGTATTGTGAGCAAGCATGACACGTTTCGAGGACTCGGCTCAATCCAAAGAGCATCCACCGGTCCATCGAAAATGACCTCAGGTTCCCAAGAGCCTGTTCGTAATGACTGCACAAGAAGTGCAGTGCAAAGTGTCTTTGAAGTGCTGGGCGCTGCTAGGCTCCCGGGCCCAATGATTGTCGGGGCATCCCGACTTGCCGCTTGCCACGGCTGTGCGCACCTGAGATGGGGTTGACCGATGTCCTTGATTCTACCCCACAAAAAACGCCTCAATTTACTTGACTGAGCTGCTATGTTTGCTGCTGCTATGTTCTGGCCTTAACTTGGCCTTCACTCTCCAGGCTCGCTCCACTGCTGAGGCTCCAGCACACTCGCTCGCCACGCCGTCAGACCATTCCCGTGTGACTTCATCGAAGGCGCCATACAGCTGTGCCTAGCTACAGAGCTAAGCCGCAATCTGAGATGGGCCAAGTAAACCGCCAGAAACAAAATCGGAAATAGCACTCACATCCAGATTGACTTCGAAGATAGGCAAACCTTGGTGACTAGAACCAGTTATCAACGCGTCTCTTTGCACCTGCCTGGGTGATGGACTTGGGATTCAGGATGTGTGTCTGCACTTTCTGATACTTCGTATCACCAGCCTCACAAAAATGTCTGAATGACATGACTCCGAACTGACTAGAAAATGGCAGTGATGTTGTAAAGGAGCGTGTAAACCATCATAAGTAGCTCCAATAGCAAATTCGCTGGCAGACCAGGTTCATTCAAAGCAAACTTTATATACAGTAGAGCCTTTAAGTGTGCCCTTAACAGGCCCAGCCTCACACATGGCAATGGAAGTGGCTTGTAGCAAGCGATAATTGCATGTTTTACCACCTGGCCCCAATGCAAGAAATCAGGAGCCAAAGCCCACTCATCAAAACATGATGTGAATGACACTTCATTCGCAAAGAAAGTGTTTTTCAAAAGACAGCAGCAACTCAATGGCCGACCGACCGTAACCAACAGCAACAAGAACAACAACTAAGATGCCACCGTTTGGGCAACATGAAACCAATCTATTGCCAGGCCTCCCGTGGGCCCGACAAGCATCAATCCATGCCGCACTCCGATGGTGTCGATCAGCTGCACCACCTCCGTGGCGACGCCCCGAGCTTCGTCGAAGCTGGGAGGCCGAGAAGCAGTCCAGGGTTGGCGTGTCCCCAATAGGTACCATCGAATCCACCATCGAATCCCAACGATTTCTGGGAACCAAACTCTGGAGTCTGGAGATCACAGGACTCTGCATGCACCATGCCTGCCTTGATAGTAAAGTTCTCTGTGAGCTGCAAGTTCTGCTCCTGTCCCGGATAAAGACTTTTGACTTCTGCACGAATCCAATGCGACTTGTCACCTGGAAACTCATTACAAATCGCCCTGATTGCCTTCCCACAGGCTTCCATCACCGGGGTCAAGTTGCCATACTCGACAACAGGGCGATCCGTTTCGGGAAACAGGTCAGAGATGATGTTCCTCAGCAAGTACGTCAGTCAAGTCCCTCGGCTCTTCCATTGCAGTCTAAATCAATGACAAAAATGTAGCTCACGTACCATTCAGGTAGCATCGTGTTCTTCAAAATGCTCCCAGAATGGCAGTTCTGAGTTGATGGCTCGAAGAGGGGCAAGTCGTCCTGACAAGGCAAATCAAACCGCTCGAGCCAACCGGGTCCAGTCCTTTGTGAATGTTCACGATGATTTTGAGCGCTGAAGCCTTCTTTAGCAGAGTTTGGTCTATCTACAGTAACTCTACCTACAAAATGATCACTAGAATTCAGATTTGAGTCTTGCTAGCGTTGGTGTCTCAAGGTCATTAGACCTGTTGAACTTCTTCTCCCCTGTCCCAACCACACACCCCGCTGAACGGCCGTTCGGACACGGTCGCCTTGAGGAACTTGGGCACGTTCACATCTCTCAAGGCGCGAAGGGTGATCTGGTCTTCTGGCAAGTCACCAACCTGGAGATGTAGTTTTGGAAAGCAAAGCATTAGCAAAAGAAGCTTGGCCATCGCTCTTAGGTTGGAGGCCATCGCTAAAGAGACTATCCAAATCTATCCAAGCTATCGGGCCTCCCGCTTCAGCTTGCCGCACATCTCAATCGTACTCTTGACCGCTCGCATGCCGTAGTCATAATGGAACCTGACGTCCAAAAATACGAGTGGGCCACGGTCAATTGACGCCAGCTGTTCTTTGCGGGTTGAAGGCTTAAAAGCTGCATCAAATCCCTACAGGGTCTGCTGGAGGAACGCCGAGGAGCAAACCCATTGCGTGAGGCATTCAGCAAAACAAGGAATGAACTTCTCAGCTGCGGACTGCGAGGAAAGCTGCTCAGACGACAAAGTAAAGGTCGTAACCTGTGAATCCAAACTCTGCAGAGTTGCCATGAAATCCGTGGTTTGTCATGGCCGGCCATGAGCGAAGTTTCTACCTTCGCTGGAGTGAAACAAAAAGGCCATGAGCCGGCAATCCACCCACTCACTTTAGAACGGTCGACCTGGTCCTCTCCGCACGTGGGTTGCCCTTCTTCTCAGTCCGCTCGCTTGGAATCCCTACCATCTTCTTGGCCAGCACCTTCGCTTCCGTGAAGCCATAGGCATAGAACCTGAGAGGATCGTAAAGAAAGCTGGCCGAGAGCAGAAAGAGAGCTGGTTGAACGGTCTTTCAGGTAGCGACATGATCTCGCCGATCAAAGCATAATCAGGGACCATCATTGCCTCATCGCCACCAGGATTACAGTGGTTCCGCCCACTGTTCAATCGGCTGCCAGCATCCAAATATCAATTTTGGGAATATCATGTTTGGAGTTTAGAAAGAATAGCATTGAACAGACTTGAATATGGTTTCTTACAGGTTCAAAACCGTCACCTGGTTCCTGTTTTTCCAGTCTGAGGCATCGGCCACTGGTCTGAAAAGGGCGGCCAAGTTATCTGGAAGCTCTGCACGACCGGCGTAGCCTCGGAACTCCGGCTCTGCACTCCGCTGAGCGCAGACTCGTACCCACCGCGCGGCGCTGCGCTTTGGAGACGTTCCACCGGGCCTGGATTCATGGTGATGAAGACGTTGAAGGTCGGCTTCATGACCTGACAACGGCAACGCAACGGCCGGTGCTACACTCCACAGTTGCCGATCCTTATATGATGGATTGTCTTGGAGTCTTGGATCTTCTATTTTTTTTGAAGTCGGCTCATCTTGGAACTGATGCAGAAGCAACTGCCAGGTTGCACTCGGGACACCGCAATCTGAAATTCAGAACTGCCTGTTCACTTGCTAGTGCCACTTCAGAGACCCAGACAATCAACGTTCCTTCAAACTCAAGCTCGACCGTTTCGTTGTAGCTGCCAAGCCTCGCAAGGATGAGAACTTCCAGCCACTGAGAATTGAGGCCAGAATCGGGTACCACTGTAAAAATGTAAAGGTACAACAGCAGTAGAGTATTTGGCATCATTATATATTTGCTGTGTGCATGTGTATAAAAATAATATATGTATGTATAAATATATACACACCCACACAAAAAAGAACAACAAAAGGTTGAACGTTCAGTGTTCTCCATTTGTCTGTCATTTAGGCAAGAAGCTCTGCTTTGCGACCTTTGCGAGATGGCAGCAGAATGAGACATCCAAGTACACAGCCAAATAAATTCAAAGAAAAGTTTGCTTCACAGCACGTACTGCAGCAAAGGCTCCGAAGAGTACCATAAGCTGCTGTGCAATGACGGACAGCACCTCGGCAAAAATCAACAACTTGGATGGTGCCCTCCTGCTTTGATACTTATGAACACGTTCCTTCCTTTACTACACACAAGTCTTTTGCAATGATCGGGTCCCTCGCTTCAATGTTAATCCGGTTGAACTCATCGAAGCAGCACCAGGCACCAGAAAAGGCTAGACCTGTCAATCTGTCTGTACAGACTGTACAGTCATTCAAAGCTCCAGTGCACTTGTCACTTCAATGTCCGCTCATTAGATTGTCCATCTGCTCAAACTATTGAAAGCTATTCAGCCCACCCCCACGCCTTTAAAGAACTTCCCGACCATAATGTAGTCCATCTCTGGTGAGCAGTTGAAGACCACACACTGCTTAGCCAGGGCCTGTCAAGAGTCCCACGCCCAGACAAGCGTTGGAGGCCAAAACATGAAGCACCAGTGGCAGCATGTCGACCAAAAAGCCCTCAATTCTAACAGCTCATCCCTTTTGCCCCCATCCTTTGCCAAGTCTTTGGTTGTCTCAGTCTTTCCGGTGCCAGCCGGGCCAGCCTCAGCAAGGGGTGAAAAAGTTTAAAGCGTTTCGCTGATGCCATACTGCCAAACACTGTCCCCCATATGTGACGCTTGAGGGTCTTCTTCAATCTCAGCGAAACCGACTGAGAGGCAAGGCTGGTGCACCACCAAGGCTAAGTGATTGCGCGCCCATCAAAGTGATGTAGCACCTGAGAAGTCTAAATGATTGACTTTCATCAGCACAGGAACCAATCTTTTAGGCCGCAATGTCTGTCAGAGGCATCCACATGTCTGTCAGAGGCGTGATCACCAAGCGCATGGAATTGCCCAAGTACTCATATCCTCAGCAGAAAGTCTTTGGCATGAGTATCCACTTTCACAGTCTTCAGGATCGGCTGAACTATTCTCAACTATTCAAAGGATCCCTATGATCACTCAACAGTCAAACTTGGGCTGAGGCCATATGGGAAGGAAGTCTGAACACACTTCACCTGCAATGAATACACATATGTGTCTTTCTCTCTGTTCGGAAGCCAAACCTTCCTGTGTAACATAATACTCTTGTGTCTGAGGTGCTAGCCCACATATTCTCCTGCTGGCGGTCATCGACTTCCCAGTAGTAGCGGAGCTGAGAGATCCATTCGAAGGAGGTCTGGCCAAGGGAGTAGAGCATCAGTTAAAAGTCAAAATAGAATTTATCCAAACATATCCAAACTCTATCGCTAGTAGGTTGGAGGCCATCGCTATTGCTCTTAGGTTGGAGGCCATCGCTCTTAGGTTGGAGGCCATCACCAGCAGGTACATCAGCTAAAATAGAACTCATCCAAACTCTAATGTAGCAGTCAATGGTGTTAGTGTCTTTATTCATTCGAATCTCTGTTCCTCTAGGACACCACAAACAACTCGATGCATTTGGAAGTGGTACGTCTCTTCTTACAAAGACCGAACCTTGCGACTTTCGCTAACTGACAACACCTGCTGCATCAAGGCCTTGTCCTTCACCTGCTGCTCAACGAAGCCCCAAATAACATCCTCACAACGAGACCCTTGTCGGTGATTGTTCATCAATGTCCAACAGCCAAAGAAGCCGCTCCAGAAGCTTAGCAAAAGCTTGTTGACCAACTACTTTAAGCTTCATCATGCTTCTTCATTCAGGGCCAACTCAGGCGCGGGGATGGATACGCACGGCAAACACACATGCCGGTCCAAACTGGGTGAAGCCTGGAAGCAGTCCCGGTCTTCTCGGTTCTAAGGCGTGTAGCGCTGTCGTCCAACTGTTACTGTTGTGCAGTTTTGCCATGTGTTGATTGTGGCACTTGTTGTGTCAGAAAGCCTCTTCATTAACTGCAGTCAGCTATCCGGTTGGGAGACATGACGAGACTTTGTCAACTTGTCCTTGGCATGGACATCAATGACGATCAGTGCGTTCATGGTCTTTGTCTGCAGCTTGTTCACCTGTGGGAAATAGTCAGATTTACACCAAAATGTCAGCAGCAAATGGTTGGGCAATGCTAATGCGGATCCTGACAGTTGTGCAAAAATAAGAAAGGGCGTAGTAACAATCATTCACCAATAGGTTTGGATGGGTTTGGTAAGATTCCTCATGTCCATCTTGTCACTGTAGACAACAGTAGCTATAGCCATCGCTCACGTGACTGCTGCGGACGACTACATTCTTGTGATTGCTACGACTTGGATTCAGGCAAAACTAAGTTCCAATAAACATGACATGATGGTATGTGAATGAACCGTCTCTTGAGCACTTCTCACCCACAATGCAGTGATATAGTGCTCTGTGCATCTTTAGGCTGGCACGCCCTTGCGGAGGAGCATAATCAAATCCAGGATCTGCTGTGAAAGCTTCTTCGCATAGTCTTCCAACTGCGCCAGAAGCTGGAGCGAACATGACAAGACCGGACCATGACAAATGGATGTCAGGATCGTGCATCAACCAATTCCAGGAGCGCTGAGGAACTAGCCACGTTTCCATCGAAGGCTTCTTCCACTTCTGATGTCCAAAACACCTGAGTCTCATAGTCTGCGACAACAGGTCGTCCCATTTCACCAACTTTGCTATTCAAAACACCTCAAGGTGCGCGAAAAGCATAGGTACATAGTACATAGGTTATACATTGAAACTGAGTTCCAAACTAGCCTGACCACTAGATAGTGGATGAATCAGCAAAAAATGTGTTGTCGTCTAAGAGTTACCATATCTCTACATATAATTACATATACATGATGTTCCACATGTTCCACTGCCATCAATCTTGTCCCCCACCAAACAGAGCGCTTGTAGGATCGGAACCCCTCTGACTCTTTGAACAGAGAATGTCTGCGAATTTTGTCTATTCTATCACAAAGACTATCATGTCTGAGAATACTCTTGAAGAGAGAAGGAGCGACCCAATCATTGTATGAATCACGTCTTAATCTATTTGGTCTAAGACGAAATTTGCCTGGAGCACTATTCCGGCCGAAATTCTGGCCTGGAGCACTGCTGCCTTGGATCCTGGCTTGCGATCCATTCAGGACAATTTGTGCAGCATTGGCCAGCACCCAGTCGGTACGGTCCATTGTTGGATAGGTGCCTCATTCTCGGAGTCGGTTGAAGCTACGTCTGGTCTTGCCCAGTCGCATTCAAAGGGCACAGCGATACAAAGCGAATTGTGCTTGGGCAAAGGCTGATCCCAACTTCTAAAGCATTGCCTCGGGCAGAACATGGCAACATTGATCGTTTCTGGCTCTCGAAGCTGAGTTTTAAGTATTTGGTGAAAAGGACTGCTGGACAACACCCAAGCATCTGACGGATTGCCATGCACATTCCATCTTGCAGGTCACCCATCCAGACTTCAACGGCCTGACCGGAGCAGAATCCACCGGGAAACCAAAGAATTCGCCTTGGCTGAAAACGCTGGAAAGAACCCAGTGAAGCGTAGGACCGTGGGACCGTCCCGCTTGCGGGCCTTTTGGTGGGTCACAACCGGGGCGACCATCTCAACGGTCTCGCCTTCTGGTGAGATCTTAGTGAGCCGAAACAAAAAAATAACAAGATGGAGCCCACGAACCCGAATGCAAACACGTTCAAAAAGCTACGTATGTCCAAATGACACTCTTGTAGGACACTCTTGTGGGACACTCTAGTAGCAAACTCTTGTGGGACACTCTTGTAGGACACTCTTGTGGGATACTCCTGTAGGACACTCTTGTGGGACACTCTTGTGGGACACTCTTGTAGGAAACTCTTGTGGGATACTCTTGTAGGACACTCCTGTGGGACACTCTTGTAGGACACTCTTGTGGGACACTCCTGTAGGGCACACTCTTCGTACGAGACTTCCTCCAAAAGTCACGCTGCGAGGCTGCAAGACGAGCGTTTCGTACGAGACTTCCTCCAAAAGTCACGCGTCAAGTCTCAAAAACGAGCGTTTCGTTCGAGACTTCCTCCAAAATTCACACGTCAAGTCTCCAAAACGAGCGTTTCGTACGAGACTTCCTCCAAAAGTCACATGTCAAGTCCCCAAAACGAGCGTTTCGTACGAGACTTCCTCAAAAACTCACATGTCAAAGTCTGCAAAACGAACGTTTCGCACGAGACTTCCTCCAAAAGTCCAGCGGAAACACCCATCGGAGCACACACATCACGCAGCCCTGCCAAGCAGTTTCGCGATTCCAGCCCCTCCAAGCGACACCCGCTCACACGCCAATCCCAATGTGACAGCGACATTCACCTCTACCACAACTCACAACCTCACGATTCCCTGCGCCTGCCACGAATCTTTCCGCGTCCACACGTCTAACGCGCACAAAGTACTGCGCCTGCCACGAAATGTCACCTCCGTCACACATCGCAACCTCACGATTCCCTGCGCCTGCCACGAAAATCCCACTTCTACACCTCAAAACCCGCACAAAGTCCTGCGCCTGCCACGAAAAGTAACAATGTCTTCTCATGTGAGCTTCAACAAAATTTGCACCACACCACACGTTTGGAATGATTTCGACCCGTTCTGAGCACACTCCCATCCACCAAAATCGGCATTTCAGCTGAGACTTGTCACGAAAACAGAGCTTCGATGCCACACCCTGAAACGCAAATTCCAATGGCACGGCCACATCCAACACCCCAAAACACGACTCTCCAAACGCTAATCCCAATGGAACTGCGCAGCAATCTGCAGATCTCACCAAACGCTGCGCCTGTGCAGCCGAAACGCATCACGTTGCTTGCGCGACATGTCTTTTTCATGCAAATCACAATGGAATAGCGGCGCAAACTGACATGTGACACATCCATGAATAGTCACTTGCAAAAGCTTCCCCCAATGGCAGCGCCTTAGCGCTCTACCGCGAACGGTTGCGGACGGTTGCGGACGGTTGCGGACGTAGAAACAACGGATCGCGAACAAGGCTCTACCCCCAGACCCCCAAGAGTTAAACGAGAACCCTTCGCTACGCATTCGGGAATAAGAAACGCTACTAGGAACAAAGGGCATTTCTACTAGTAGCAACCATCTCACTTAAATCCAACGAATCCAACTCTCTATGAATCCAGCCATGGATACGACCTCATTGTCGGGCGTGAAGTTCACCTCACAGTCAACGGCCAACCAACAAAACGACCTGGTCGCACAAGCCTTCTAGTCTTTTGTTCCATGCGCAGCACTGAAGCAGCAAGGGATTCCAAAATGCCAGAATGTGCCAGAATGTTCATAGCGCAGCTGAGCTAATGACTTTGGACATGGCTTCAAAGACTTTGGACAAGAATGGTTGCACTCGAGTCGGGTCCTTTGACAAAAAAAGTTCTAGAACAGTTTATGAAAAGGCCTCATCCATGCCAGTTTCAATCACTGGTCCATGACTAATGCCTAAACAGGCTCACACTCAATGGCAGTCTTTTGCGACCTTGGACACATTTTCCTCTGTGCACCGTGGAAGTCCTTGGTCTGCGAAAGGATCTCCAGGAGCTCATCATTCGAAAGGAAGTAGAAACGGGCAAAGCCATTCCTGGTCGAAGCAAACCCAGGAGGCTGATTGAGGCTGTCGACAAGAAGGTACAGTACTTTCTGAGATCATAGTCGTGTACACAAACCTCGCAAGCACTCAGGCCTCTTTGTCTCAAGATAGTCCTGGGATCACAAAAAGGCACAAAGACTCAAGTCTTTGTTCATACTCAAAGCATGAGGCAACTAGCAGACTTCTTCATAAATTCAGAGCTTGTCAGATTTGGAAGCAGCTTCCTCCAAGCCCTTCTGCACCATATCCAGTGTGATCTGCCACGGCAAATTAAATATGCTCAATCCATATCTAGAAGCCATTTCCCAGTTCAGAAAGTGATTGCAGCTAGGAAGAATGTTACGACCCGGCCCAGATCACCACTTCTCATGTCTGTGAACGGAACGCTTCAATCGTGACTGGGGCACATTGCATTCTCGCCACTTTTCCAGCAGCCCTTCAGTCGCGCAAATGTCGATGATCTTGGGGTTCTCCCTGGTGTTGATCATCTCCTGCCACTACACTCTAGTTGGTCATGAGTCTCGACTGCTCCAATATTGAATTCCACGAATGAACAAAGCTGCTGCGAAACAGCAAGGTACCGGTCCATGTGCTACAATGCTGCTGAACAGGTTTGTAAGCTTACCTTGGGTCCTACTGTTTGAAACAAGAGAAATGGCACCTGGCGCCATGTCGCATCGACGTGTTTGAAGCGCTTCCCTCAGCATTGCGTCAGCACTATTGTCTTGTTCTGATGAAAGTTTTATTGCCTGCTTCTTGCTACTAGTAGCGATGGCCTCCACCTAATAGCGTCCCTGTTACGAGTACAGAAATACAAGGATTTACAACTGGTGTTCAAAATAGCCGCCTTCTGTCGGGAGCTGTCGCATGATGTCCTCAGTGGCAACTCAGGTTGGCATTGCAACACAATTAAAAGCTCTGCTAAAAGCTCCCCTCTTGCCCCAAAAATAATGACTCGTCCGGCGAGGCTCATCCGAATCGAAAATTGGCTGAAGATACATCCAAGCTTTCTGGCACTTGAGCCTGGCGACAAGAAGCTTGAAGATGTGTCGTGACACAACAGGTGGGTTCTGAAGTTCCCCACAACTTCGCCAGAATCTCCATTCTTCCAAGGTCTCTGACACGCGCATGAGCCTTGTATTCCACCTGACAAACCCAAAAGGACCCAGAGAAGCTCAAGGAGTGTGCTTCCAGCTTTCTGCGGCGCACTCATCGATGTCTTCCTCGAAAGGTCCTTTGAAGGTGGAGAACATCATGGCCTTGCCGCAAAATCCACTCTAAAAGCATGGCAAAAACGGCAAGACGTGCATATGACACCAAGAGACTCACTGCCATGGGCCTGTGTGGTGACAATGTGCTCATCCAGCAGGACCATCGCCTGCACAGCATTCATTTTCATGGGTCCAATCAGTCGAAAAAAATCGTACACAGGGATATTCTGTGTTACTCCGGCCTCTCCATCTCCTTTCAAAACATAGGTGCCAGTTTTCCTTCAAGCCAGCTGCGAAAGAACCGCCCGAGGTCTCTTCATGCAAGTGCACCCGAGGTCTCTTGCCAGTTCGGTCGCCGGCCCCGGACCCTGGACCCTGCCTGTACTTCTCCGAGAGATCAAAGTTCAACGGTTCCCAGTCTGCCTGCAAAAGAAACCAACAAACAAGTGATGATACATCATCTGGGTTTGGGTCTTGATCCATGTTTGGGTCTCATGACCAAACACTTTCACACTTGCCCATCAGCAGCCTTCATCTTGTTCAAGGTCTTCTCAAGGCCATACTCCTTGCCCGCTCGATCACCGACTTCTGCGACCTCGTTGGCGAAGTTCAATAGCCCGGCGTCCAACATCCTGGCCCAGCAAAGTCTCAAAAACTAAAAACAACAAGGGAAACATATTTCCGCAATCCTATGAATGCCTACTCCAAAACGATTCCAACTTGTTCTCAACTGGTCAACCATTCCAGTCCAAATTCAGAGCGCCTGAGAGAAGGGTTCATATTAAATACGGATGCATTGCATATCACTACAATACAATTTACACCAGCACATAATTACATCCGCACATATCCAGCCATGCACATCTTCACATGTGCACGTATCCAACCATGCACATCTTCACATCTAAACCTACACATATCTCTCTCATACTCTCTCTCTCTCTCTCTCACGTTCTCTCCCTATATCTCTCTCATTATCTTTCTTTTCTCTCTCAGACTCTTGGCTAATATGTTTTTGTGTGTTCCTTGTTTCCTTCCTTCCTTCCAATCTTTTTCTTTTGAATTGTTTTTTAATGGTGGTTTTGTGTTCTGTGTCTGTGTTTTTTTCTGCTTGTATGTGTTCTGTATGTTTTTCGTTTTTCTCATTTTTTGTATGTTGTTTTTCTGAATGATTTGTTGTTTCCGTTTTTGCATGTGATTTTTGATAATTGTGTTCGTGTGTTTTTTCGTTATATATGTTATTTCTCTTGTTTTGTTTATTTGTGTCTTTGTGTTGTTCTTGTTGGTTTGTCTCTTTCTTCTTTCTTTATTCCCTCCTTTCGTTATGTCCTTCCTATCTTCCTTCCTTTCTTCCTTGTTTGCTTGCTTGCTTGCTGCTTGCTTGCCTTCTGTTGTCCTTATGTGTTTCTTTCGTTTTTTCCTTCCTTCCTTTCGTTCTTTCGTTCTTTCCTTATTTCTCTTCTTCCTTCCTTGCTTGCCCTCTATATTTTTGTTTAAGTTGTTTACTTTATTTCTTTTATAGTTATTTCTTTCTTTTCTTCTGTATTTCCTTATGTTGTATTTATGTGTTCTTTCTTTCTTTCTGTCTGTCTGTCTTTCTTTCTTTTTTTTTGTTTCTTTTTGTTTATCTCTTTCTCTTTTTCTTGTTTGTTCTTTCTTGCTTTCTTTCGTTTTTTTCTTTTGTTATTTATGTTGTTCTTTCATTCTTTCGTTCTTTCTTTATCTATTTCTATTTTCTGTTCTTTTAGTTTCTTTTTTCTTTTCTTGTTTTCTTTGCCTTTCCTTTCCTTATTTGTTTCCTTCTTTCCTTCTTTTCTTCTTCCCTTCTTCCTTTCTTTCTTTCAGCACTACAGTTTCCTGAGGGGGGACGTCGAAAATTCTAAGTTGCATTTTCCTACGCGGTGGGCTTCACAAAAGGTAATTACATAAACTTTGAGGCCTCAACAAAGATAACTTATAACTTTGAGGCGATTTCGTCTTGCTGTCTCAGGATGCAGGCAAAAGGTGAGATTTGCAGACTACAATTATTGGTTCACACGTCCAAACCCTCAGATTTTGCAGGGAATACCTGGGTTATGTGAGAAAGTTTGACCTCACAAATTATAACTTACATTGTTGCAACGTGCCCAACTCCCCCAGAAATTACAAGGAACTGGGGTGTCCCCCTGAGATAATTGCATTTTCACATACTGAAAATCACACACAAGCGACTCCACGAAGCGCAAGCAGGGGGCAAGCAAGCAAGGGATCAAACAGCATTGAATATCCTTGTTCTCCTGCACAATAGAACAGGCAGCTGTGCGAGATTAGAATGACCTCTCCTTTGTTGTGTAGCATGTGGATGATCCTCTGCTATGTTTGGGTTTCGCTTTGTTGCCTTCCTTTGGGGTCTTGAGTGAGAACATGACTTCTCTAGGGAAGTAGATGTACAAGACGCGATGACAAGGTAACTTGAACGCAGCTCTGAAATGCGCCCCCGCTGAAATCGCATCATTGCTGCTGGGAAGTATGCAAGCAGCTTGTCACTTGCCAGAGATCAGGGAACAGCTTGGCCAGTGACTGTGGTCGTTGCAATTTCTCGCAGCAAAAAAGTCTACGCCAGGGCGACTGAAGACATCCCTCCACAACACCAGGTCACTCATTTGCAGCGCCACTTGGACAACATCACCGTGAAGCCGCCACAGTGCATGACGCGGGCCGCCAATGACGCGGAACACTGTGAAAGGCGAGACGCATGCCTTTCTCACTGGGGTTGCATGCGCAGGCAACTCTGGCAGCACTCAATTTCCGCGGCCCAAAGAGTCCAATGCATATTTTCGTAGTGCTGCTATTTTTTGCGCTTGGCTCATTGTGGCATACAATCATACAGTGCAGACGCAATCAAGATACTGCTTCAAAAAACAATCCTTGCGTCCTTGGCAGCATCGCATTTACGTTTTGGATCGAACAGGAGTGAGCAGTGTGCAACAGCTTGCACCTCCGCAACACTCAAAACAAGACGCGGCGTGTGCGCTAGTCCGATAACACACGCGCAAACATTGCCTCCAGCTTTGTCCTTGTTACTGTTTCAGCTGCTGCCGTGTGTTCCTGTGTGCTTTCGCTGCCGGGGCAAAAACCATGCGGCTGCGAGGGCTGCAGCGTTCGTTCACAACATCTCACCTCAAATCTTCACATGCACACATGCCGCAGGCAAAACCTGAATCCACACATTTTACTGCAACAACGCACATATATCTACATGAACATGGCCTGGAAAACATCTTTCGGGGCAGGACCTGGACACACATTCTGCTCTTTCATCTCATGCGTTTCTCACCCTCTCTTTCACTCTCTCTCACCATCTCATCACTCTTTTTCTTGCACTGTTTCATGGTCATGCACGCATACCTGACACCAGAGTAACTTGACACCTAAACACGCTCGGGCCATCCGTCGTCTATTTTGGGATCACGGTCCTCTGCAAAGTAAAGCCTCCATCCATGCCAGGCCCAACCTGCACGCCTGACCTTGTGCAAAGGTCTGGTGCTCTGAACTCCGGCAAGAGTGTAGTTGCAGGTGCAACACAAACGAAATAGTTCCTACAAACATTGAGTCACTCGGTGGTATATCCGAACAAGCAGGCACTCTGCCGTCTTGGCTCCAGACTTCTCGGAAATCTGTTCCTGTCAGGTCGAAACTGTCCACTCTGACTTTTTTTTCCAGGTGCATGTCGACTCATAAGAGTCCCACTATGGACCTCAAACTGGACCCCGCACAAGGACTGAGGGGCTGACCCAGTGACGCTGGCGCATTCCCTCATTGCGAAGGCCAGTCACCAGGGGAAGATTGGGCTTGAACCTCAGCGCTCAGGCTTCTGCCATAGGGGTCCCAAGACAGTGTGTTCTGCAAAGGCCTCTAAACGGAAGAAGTGACATTGGAGCAGAGATGGTTTCAGGTATGTTCAGAGGAGGGGTGCGCTTAAGCCTAAGCATTCATGCCACTCACATCACTGACATACATACAAACTCTCTGTAATCAGCGGTATCTGTGTTCTTGGCCTCACATTATGCAAACACCAAACAATGCGGAAAACATTCTCCAATCCTTGGGACCCAACTCTTCCAACTCGGTCTTGATTTGCTCTGCAATGCCGCAGATGGACTGCACAGCAGGCCAGCCAAAGCAGGTACCACTCGGTACCACTGATTGATAGTTTGGCAGCACTGGAGCACTGGCCTTTGTCTCTTCGTTCTCTTTGAGAGTGCGGATGGTCTTGAAAAGAAGCCGGATGCCGTTTGTCACCTTCATGCAGCTGCTGAAGCAAACCAGCTTTAAAAATATGAAACAAGCAGAAACGGTCTTTGTCATGTTTTGTCTGCTTAAGAAATGACACCATCCTGGAGAAATTAAGTCCATCAAAGCACCAAAGCAGTGTACTACTAAGTCTTAGTTACTTTGTGGGCTTCCCAAAATGGCAAGTGTCACAGGGACTCAGTGAGACCCAGATCCTCTTCCTCCGACCGATCCAACTACACGCCTCATTCTCACAATATCGAGGATCGATTTCATCGAAGGGGCCCCCGAGCCAGGCCTGAAACGCCATGAGCTAGAACAGTAACATCCCACAACCCAGAGCTTCACAGTCCATGTAGAATGAAGTAAGCCAAACCATGACTCTGCATCACAAGAACGAATTTCCGAAGCAAGCTGCAGTTTGTCTGACTTGGCAGGAATTAGCAGCTTGTCAGTGTGGCCGTGTGGCCTCTTTGTTGCTCACCCAATCTCCAGCAGTCTTCCAAAGGTTGTTGTAGGGCTCAAAGGTTTTGATCATGGTCTGAAGGTTCGAGTAGTCCGTCTGGTCCTTAGGCATAGCTTTTGCACATATGTTTCAAGTATTTGTCAAACAAGTGTTGACTGGGCAGCGGGCCCGATCAAACAGCACCTGCAAAAAGACACATGGAGTGTTCGTCTGCCTCCCGGCCAGATGACCCCGTTAGTGGCCTCTCGAGAGTTGTAGAGCCGAACCAAGTCCTGGCACTGCTTGATCTCTTCAGATGTTGCCCGCACCTAGCACCAAAGGTTTTCGGCCTTCCGGCACTTTGTAAAGCTGCCAAGTCAGCCTTCTCAGCAACTTCTCTGACTTGGCCAAGATCCTTGTACTGGGAGAAACCTTCGATCACCTCAGAGAGAAAAATCCACCCACGACACGCCATGATGCAATGAGCTCCCCAGAGCAGGCCAGAACCGCCGGGCCTCCTCCAGTCTCACAAGTCTTTGATCAAACTCCTGGTGAAGGCCACATCGTTCGCCAGATCGTGCCGGGGGTGAACGGTTCCAAGAAGAAAAGCGTTCCCAGAAAAAAATATAAGGAAAGGAGAGCGTTCTCTTCGGCAATCAAACAGAAAAAGAAAACGCCTTCTGTTCTGACTCTTGAGACTGCAGGAAGGAATCGTGTTGAGTGTTCAGGTACCTTGCAGAGAAGGAAGCGATTGATTTGTATGATTTGTCAACATCAGTTTGTATCTCTGCGCACTCCATGCATTTGGCTGCCCTGGACTTGACAAGACCAGATGAGCCAAACCTGGAGAACTAGGTGTGGATCACCAAATCTGGAGTCGAGTTTGCTGTTCAGTTCTTTCGACATCTAAGCACTCGACATCTCCCAACGAGCTTCCAGGGTTTCGGCCGGGAGCTCGTAGCGGAGGTCCTCAACCTGAGCAGTTTCACCCCAAAAAGCAAGACTGAAGGGCAAAATTCCACATGGTCCCAACAAACCTGCTGGCAAATGTATGTCAAACAATTCCAGTCTGCAGATGGTATCTCAAGCCTGTCAAGTCATAGCCAAGCCGCCAAGTCTGTAAGTTGCATCGCCTCATTCACTGCACCCGCAAGCTTGGTCAGCTCGTTGGGGATCGACTTCAAGAAGTCCTCAAGCGCGTGAGACGCGACCGGTCCACATCATCTCCCGCAGGTGTCAGCACTCGTTGGGCTTTGACTCGTTGGCACCACTCCACCCACTCACTTTGGTCTGTGGACTATGATAAGATTCTACATGGCTGCGAGCGAAAACCTGGAGCCCCAAAACCTGGTAGATTGACCTCCCAGGAAGTCTATTCTGTTCATGTTCAGTGGTCAAGCACATTGTCCCGTTTTTGACCCACGGCAACTTGAGAGAGGAGGGGGGTGAACGAAAGGTAGCAGGGAATCAGGCGTAATCCGGGAGGAGGTGAGAGGCCCCCCCACTTGTTTGAAGAGAAGTGAGTGAGCGCGATGAAAGAAAAACTAATGCACAAACGCTTGACAAAACCTCCAGAAGCTGTAGCGGTCTAGCGGTTTCAATACAGGTTGACGTGCCTTCAAAAGGAGTCACAATGCTTGCAAACAGGACGTGCTCAAAAACACTCGTATTTACGAGGTTTCGTTGCCGTTGATCCACAGCCGCGGCAAGGTCTAACGCCACTCTTGAAGACAGGAGGAGCTGAAAACACTTGTATTTACGGTATTTTGTAGCCGTCGATCCAAAGGCGCACCACGGTTGAGCGCTGGAAAAGCGCAGAAAACCGTGTAAATACCGGCGTTTTCTGCCGGGAAGGTGCACAAAACCCTGTAAATACCATAGTTTTGTGCAATTTTGAAGCCTCCAAAAGCCTCAAAAACCCTTTCTGACAAAATCTTTCCTGGTTTTTGGTCTTTTTTCGGTCAATTTTCTAACCGAGACGCATCAAAAACCATCGGTTTTTGCGGTGTTTTTTGCCGGACAGCCACAAAAAACGCTGTAAATTCCATGATTTTTTGTCACTGCTGAGGACTGAAAGAGCTGAAAACACTGATATTTACAGTGTTTTCGAACGGTTGACCCCGAGGCGCGCTAGGGTGGAGTTGAAAGGGGGGGGGGGCCCCCTGAAAAGTAGAGCCTACCTGTACAGGGTTCCACTCCAACAGCTGATATAGTGTGTCCATGCTTGACTGCTTCAAGGCTCAAGAGAGGGTCAATGGACCTAAAGAGCAAGAGGATAAGACTCTGCGCATAAAAGACACTAGCGGTCTGCACCTCTACCGTGTACGCCCTAGTCACTCTTTCAGTGGTAGCGGAGCAGTGATCCTGGAAGACCCAGGTGAGCTCCTTTCCTAGGCATAGAATTGCTTGTGGGCAAACGGCCATGGATTGGATTGACGACTGGGAAGAGCCTGATGCGGATGTGGCTTATGAGCCAGCAGCCTACGTGAATAGGCATGTGAGAAGAGAACCAGCAGCAATAGCAATGACAACACAGGTCACTACAAAGGTGCCCCCATCTTATGATGGAAAGACTTCATGGTTTTCTTATGAGGATGCCATAGACGATTGGTGTGATATCACCGAGCTGGAAGATGAGAAGAGAGGACCAGCTTTGAGAAACAGATTAGAAGGAGAAGCAGCAGTATACAAACGTGTATTAGACAGAGATTCATTGAAGGCTAATGAGCCACCAGGAGCAGGAGTAGATTACTTCAAACGAGTACTACGACCATATTTCGTGAAAGGATCAACCAATGTATTCCTATACAGGTTTATGCAATTCGTGCGATTCAATCGAGGATCAGCTGACATGATGAAATGGATGACAAGATTCCAGATTTTACTCCAAAGGCTTATGAGCAGTTGGATGGACATGTTAGAACCAGTCACTCAAGCACATCCCCAAGTCCTTGCTCAGATGCAGGCAGATGCAGCGTTGACTGGAGTAGCACCAACGGCAGAAAGGATTCAGGAAATCATGCAGAATGTCAATGGCAATATGAGAATTCTTCATCAGAATGATTTTCCTTTAGGAGAGAATCTCATTGCCCTACTCATGCTGTCCCTTGCAGATTTGTCTCAGGACCAGCGAAACACTTTGACTTCGTTGATGACTCATCGTGGCAGGTACCTGCAGCAATACACTACAACAGAGCTGAGGACAGTTTTCATCGAGATGTTCTGCACGACAAAGACTTCAGTAGACAATCCATTGATGCAGCCGACAGGTGCTGGAGGTAGAAGATCATTTCTCGTACTAGACGAAGGAGAACTCGATGGTACATTTGGCTATTGGGCCGAAGATGAAGAAGATGGAACAGAAGGATTTTTAGATGCCCTGGACGATGTCTTTTGGGTATATGATGATCAAAACTTCTCATGGTTCCAAAGGAGATTCCAAGGAAGAAGAGCCAGAAAAGGCAAAGGAAAAGGTAGAAGGAAAGGAAAAGGAAAAGGAAGATCAGGCCGCAGATTCTTCAGACCTCGTGGAAAAGGAAAAGGAAAGAGACGAGGTAAAGGCCATTTTGCTGATGAGCAACAGACAATATTTCCAGATGAATACCTTGAAGAGAATCCTTATGAGGACACTTGGGAGTCAAACCAAGGAGCATATGATGCCATTCTTGCCGAGGATATGAATGACTATCTTCAAGGAGAATATGATGATGCCAATGACTTTTGGCAACAGCTTGAAGAAGCATGGTTTTCCCACAAAGGAAAAGGAAAAGGCAAGAGAAAAGGCAAGAAAGGAAAAGGAAAGGATAAAGGAGATGGCAAACAAGATGCAAACTATGCAAATCAACAACAGCCACGTTCTTTACCTGCACCTTCAAGAACTTCACAAGCATCAGGAGGTCAACAAGGTTTCTATGCACATTGTGTGACAGCAGCAGCTGAAGTCCATGACAGTGAGGTGGACTTGCTGTCAGGCATGATGACCTCATGCCAAGATGAAGCTGACTGCGTGGTCAACAATGGTGAGACGATCTTCGATGACATGAGTGCCCCTGTGAGGTACTCTTTGTCAAAGGAGATGCTCACAAAGGCTCCTGATGGCTTTGCGCTTATGAGCGCTGATGGCTTTGCGCTTATGAGCGCTGAGGAAGAAGTGAAGGAGATGCAGGCTATTTCATTTTTGACTGAGAATCGCTTCCCGCCAACTATTGCAATCCTGGACATTGGATGCACTAGAGCTATGGGATCAAGGCGAGCAGTCGACCATTTTTGCAACTATGTCGACAATCACCCAGATTGTGGATTATGGTACTCTTTTGAGTCTACCAAGAGCAAGTTTTACTTTGCCAATTCCCAGAAGGCTACTTGCTCTCAGAAACTGGTGATTTACATGTATGATCGTGCATGGACGATCCACCATACAGAGTTCGACATAGTGGAAGAAGGAGAAGTCCCTTTGCTTATGAGCTTGCCACAGATGAGGAACTTAGGCTTTGAACTCAGGCTGACACCTCAACATGCTTATCTGACATCGGTGCCTCTTGGTATCAAATTTTTGGAGTTGAAGGTTGCAGCCAGTACTCATCTTGTGTTGGACTTCCAAGATATTGCATGGTATCTGTCTGACGTGCGTTGGCAGACTCAGCGTGAGAAGAGTTTTTACTCTCACCTCACTCACTATGAATATGGCCATATTTCTGTTGAACACAATAGTGATGAAGGTGAAGCTGAGCATGCATATCCTGTGGTTGATTTCTGGGAAGTAGATGTTCACAAGAGAGAACTGATACGTCACCACAAGGATTACAGGAAAATTCTTTTCCCAGCAACTAAGTCCTGTCCTGTAGACACTGACTTGCTGGAAGACTTGCGACTGACAATCATCAAGAAGAAAGCAGGAGGAGAAGAAATCAAGAAGACAGATGATTGGCGCAAGGCAAAATGGAAGGACCTACAACTTGGCTATGAATGGCGTGGTAGAACAATTTTTAAATTTAAGCCAGATGCCAAAATTCCAGATCTAAAGATCAGGAAGGCTGGCATTGAGCACCGTGGCATTGGTGATCCCGATGCAGTGGTGCGCTCCTCCTCAGAGAAGGTTCCCATTGCAAAGGACAGGGAACCAGGCTTCTCATCAGAGAAGGAAGGTGCACAGGCTTCTCATCAGAGAAGGAAGGTGCACCATCCAGTGCCGCGGAAAAGCCCGCGCCGCCAAAGTTTCGGTATACTTCCAAGGGTTTTGATCCATTTTGGAAGGGACACAAGTCGAAACCATCTGAGCCTCAGAATGATTTAAAGGGTGATGATCTTGAGGAGTATGCTCCCTCAGAACCACCTGAGAGGCCAGAAGGTGAACTTGTAGAAATTCCTAAAGCATCAAAAGGACCATCAAGTGATAAACATGAACCACTTGAACCAGGTGATGGCGCTCTTGAGCCTAGGCGGATTTCAATCCCATTACCTGGTAGTGAAGTTGTTGCAATGATACCGGCATATAGGAAGATGTTACAGAGACTGGAGGACAAGGTAGAGCTTTATAAGCTTCATGTGAAGCACTACCATATGAGTCCTACTCAGTTTCGTAGACGTGTTTCTATGTTGAAGCTTCCTGACTCTGTTTTAGAGAAGTATGAATCAGTTGTCAGGAACTGCCGTGTTTGTAACACTTCAGTGGCACCTCCGCCACGAGCCAGAGTCTCCGGTATTAGAGCTTCATGTTTTGGTGATGTTGTTTTTGCTGATCGCTGTGAGGTTGAACTTCACAAGAACAAGTATATCATTCTACTTGTTCTTGATGGTGCCACAAATCTTCTCTGGGCTACGGCACAGAAAGACCTCATAGATCAAACCACCATCCAAGCATTGAGGCAATGGTCTGATGAGAACAACTGTGTTCCAAAGGCCATCGTAGGAGACGAAGCCTTTTTCACAGATGCTTTTGTTGAATACTACAGGTTCCATGGTATACAACAATGTCCTTGTGGGCCAAGAACTCCTTGGCCGAACCGAGCAGAGACAGCTGTACGTTTGTTCAAACGTATGTGGCATGTTATGAAGGTAGATCTGGATGACCCACGTTTTCGTGGTGTTACGGTCAGAGAAGTGGTCAAGAAGGTAGTTTGGGCAAGAAATTGTCAGTTGACTATCAGTGGATATTCACCAATAGAGATAGCAACTGGAAGACGTCCACCAG